GGAGAAATCAAACAAAACTGAGAGTAATCAGGACGAGGCAAAAAACATACCGGAATGAGAGGTAAATAAGTAGATATCCGGTGTTTGATGGTGTGGGAAGAGGGTAGAGGTAGATTTAGAGGATTTGGGATGAATAGGATGAAGAACTAGACAACAAGATGACAGAGACAGAGATACTTATAAAAAAGTATATATTTAAGAGAAAAATATTTACAGAATAAAGAAGCCTATAGAAAAACCCTTCAATATGATTCTACCGTTACCATGTATAGATAACAGGTGGAAAAAATGACAGGTCAAATACATAATTAATTTAAAGCGAGTAGCCCAAAAAGAGTATCAATGTCTCAGATAAGGTAAAATTAGCTGCAAAATAAGCCAAAATAAACTGAAAGAACCATAAGTCGCAGTATTGATAAGCTCATTGACATATTAATTAATTACCATCTGGATGTAATGAGGAGATCAGCCGTTTTTTTGTAATAGGTTGTTAATTGCCTTAAAGGCTATGAAAAAATTACTAAAGATTTAATTCCTGAAGGGAAGGTATCTAATTCCTTCAACCTCCTATAGAATGAGCTGATCCAAGTAGCCTTAGCTGCTTAAACTATTAACAAATTAATACTATGTGGATGAGAACCAGAGAAAATTGCTGATGTAAATATATTGTTAATGGGGCTTTCATTTCGTACGAAAGTTCATAAGGAAGAGATTCGTAGGTTGATGTCACTATAGGAGGACGGCTAGATCCCTTTCTACTGCAGTCTTTTGGCTTTAATACGTTTAGGTTGACGCAGTCTACGAGACCTCCATCGTTTCGGGTAAAAACTGGCTCAGCTTTCGTCTATCATATGATGGACATCATCAGAGCTGAGTTCCATTTTTATAAGACTTATGTTAACACTAGAGCGACTATCCGGCCCTAGCTTACCTTTTATATAGATTCAATTAAGCACGCAAAAAATTAAAAACCTAGATAGATATGGAGTGGTTTGGCTAATTATCTTTCATACTGGTCCTGTTACTTTCTCTCGATTGTATGCGTGTCTGTGTGTGTATGTTAGTGTCTATATACAATGCCGGCCTTAAATCAGAATGATTAATAGGCTAATGTCAGGCTCTGATCATCAAGGCTTAATGACCCAATAGAAAGTCCTGACCAAGACTGTGCAAGTCCGTAAGCGAGTATTGTTGAGATAATAAGATTTAAGTGTGTAAATCAAGTTACGAAGCCACTTGTCCTAACATCTCAATCTAGGGACATTAACGTTTAACCACCCGAGGAAAGGAACGACTAGGGCTGCGTAATCTGGCACGTCTGGTATGGTTGATGAGCTTAATCTAGCATGTTGGACGAGTGTGAGAGATGTTAGAACCATCACTAAGCCAATTAGTAAAATCGTCTTATTTTGGATGGCGGCTCAACACCTCTCTCCTTCAATCTATTAATCAAGCATAAATAGTTCCTATACAACTTTATACCATGGTTCCTAAAATTTAACATATTTCCATTCTATTTAGGGTTCAGTTTCTACTATGTGCTCGGCCACCTATGCGCTGTTGGACACAGCTTCCTTCACAAACATTTTTGTGCTCCCCCAATCTTTGTCGAATAGGTTGGCATGTCTCATCAACATAAGATCGATCACATGGGATCCGGCTGTTACAAGATTGTTTGCTCATTTGGTCGATGTTATGTTGGTGAGACATGCCGACCTATTCGACAAAGATTGGGAGAACACAAAAATGCTTGT